GCCCTCGACCTGAGAGGGGGGCAGTCGGTCTACCACGAGTGAGGCGCCGGTGCTGGCTGCCGGGGGTGGAAGCCGGCCAGGACGGCGGGGATGTGAGCGCAGCACTACGCCACACGCTGCCATCGGTCCCGCCAGCCCAGCTGAACTTGGGTTGGTCACAAAGGCCACTGCGGACCCTTCCACAGAGTTAGCCTTATTCCTCTGCCTGAGCTCGCCTCGCTGCATGGGAGCTCTTACATCCTGACCTTTGAGCCAGCAGCACGGAAGGTGGTTCACGGGGGAAGCAATGACACTATTGTTCAAGGATGTCCCATCCCGGATGACTAGGGAAACCGTTCAGCTGCAGGCGATACTCTCCACTCCTCGCCTAAGGACATTCAAGTCCCACGCTTCCTTCCCTCTGCCTAAATCCTCCTCCTCAACTTCTGTCTCTGTTGGAACAACATCGTTCACAGCACCCAGGTGGGTGTTCATTGAACCTTTTCTTCCATCTTCTCTTCTAAGCACAGACAATTATGCACGTCAAGTTACCACGGGGAGGTAAATATTGTCATTTGGCTTCAGGGACGTTACACATAATGTGGTTTTTGTCTCCTCTGCCTCACCAGCTAAACAGAGAGCACTGTGTCTCCTCCTGGAGGGGCCTGGAATATTCTAGAGGAAACATAAATAAGATTTTTAATTTAAAAAAAAATCACTTCTGAGGCCTGCCGGTAGCATGCCTCCTGTCCTGAACAGCAGCATTACGTGTGGCATCCGGCAGACGGCAGTTCAGCCTGGGAGTCACGCGCCAGGAAGACAGATGCTCCAATACCACCGTGAGATGCCGAGCAAGCCGCGATCGCACGATCAAACGTGGAACTTTTATTTGCAGATTAAACAGGAAGCTTTCTCCAGAGGCTCCGAAATCAACAGAGCCAACGGTCACTGCCCATCCACACGTGCCCTCGAAAACTCCAGGGCTCACCCACCTGGGAATTCTCACCTGGCTCCTGGAGGGGAGAAGGCAGGTCTCAACAGACT